AAAAAAAAGGAGAAAGTTTATTTATCTTCTATTCATGGTGTTTATTTAAAGCTTTTCGTTTTAGAGGCTATAATTGGAAGGCAAGTCAGAAGTTTAAAAGCTACCACAAATAAACTTTGACTGAGGGGGCGACAGATTAGCAAGATAGTGTCTTTTTCATCTTAGCAGATCTTGACAGAGCGCAAATCCACATCTGTCTGTTGTATAAATCAACAAAATTAGAAATCCCTGCTTCTGGGCTAGTTATTTCAATGAAAGATTATTTTATTATATTTCTTTAGGGTGTGAATTTGCTTACGTTGCCCAGCAATAAATGCACATAAGTGCACGTGTGCGCACATAAGCCAACCCCGAATAGTTGTGATACCAAACAAGCGTATGACTATGGTGTGCGGCTATGATCTGAAGTTTGTTTTTAAAGTCATCTGAACGGTTGAGTAAGCTTATTGTTAAAACAAAGCTGGAAACTGTTTCTTCGGGAGGAGGACAGAGTCGTTGGGTGAGACTTGTAAATAGAGTCAGCTTTCTTTACAAAGAGCTGAGTTCACAATGGGGTAAGGATGATCTTAAATACTTCTTGCACAGATGACCAGAAACATGCTTTCAGTTTGTCAACAGTTAGCACCCACAAGGAGTATTTAACTAGTTGTTGATGAAAAATTAAGTCCCATCTAAAAGCCTTTTTTTTTCTTCATTTAGGAGTAAAGACATTAGCACTAAAAAAGGACTGATAATTAACTGCCACAATAAACTCAAGACTTAATTTTACAGGCTCCTGTCGAAAGCATCTGCCTGGAATAAATCAACATGAAGCACTACTAGGCTGGGAGGACTCATCTGTATGCTTCCTTCTCCAGAAAAAGTGGATTGTTTTAATTTAAGTTATTGTGCAATAAATACAGCTGAACTGATTCTGTCCTGCGACCTCCTCTCCATAAGGAGGTAGCCCTTGGTTTTGTTGTACAGTCAGTCAGCACAATTTCCAGGAGGAATGGCTGCCTGTTGCTATTTGTCCCAGCCAAATAAGCCTGTGCAGATGTTGATGTCCATCAAATCCGTATTTCTTTTGCTTGATTTTCAGACAAATGGAAATCTTGAAATGTCAAGTGATGTAGCAAGAACATATTTAAGCAAAGGAAAGACTTCACCTTTCCTGACAGAGGGAGATTTTTCATAGGAAAGGAAGTTCTCTCGTTTGTCTGGCTATTTGGCAGCGCTCTCTGCTAAAGTCCTGTCCAGGCTACCTCTTCCAGGAGGAGAAGGAACTCTGCATCATTTCATGTAAAATAATCCAGTAGGTTCTGATCCCTTTTCATTCCCAGTTACCAGGTTTGAATTCTTGGTGACAGTTTATTTGTCTTTGGAGGCACTTCAGTGACAAATGTTTAAGGGAGTGTGGGACAATGGTGGAGAACAAGGGAGGCAGTTCATTGAACTGACAGTGACCATACAGTAAATAGGGGGAGATTCAAGCTTCACTGATCACCCAAGCACACAGCAAATCTTTTGTATGCAATCACAATGGACATAACATAAGGTCTCTGTTTATTTTCAGCAATATACACCAATGTATACACACAGGCAAACATAAGTTTAAAATTGTTATGAAACAAAATCTTACAGTGACCATAAGCAATGCTCTGGTTTGGCCAAGACTTTTCATGGTCACATTGGAAAGCATGATGGATTTTACTTAGAATCTTCACTCCTCCTAAAAGCTGTTGGTCTACTAGATCTCTCACGATAGACATGCCTCTATAGTGCATATCTTAGGGCTGTGAAGGTGGCTGCAGGCAGCTTTACAGGTAGAGAACAAGACATTCCATCTCAATGTGATGCAAAACTAGTACTTGATTTTTGGTTTGTTTTGTTCTTTTGAGTGCACTGGAGTTTGTGAGGTACTTCGAAAGAGCCAAAGTGCACATATAAGAAGCAGTGGGACAAAAAATCATCCCTATTTGAGTAATGGAAAATGATTTTGAGTGACTGCGTTGCATAGTCTTCAAATGTTGCCAAAACAAATTTAGACCTTCAATCGATTTTGTTCCTGTCTGCAGTAATAACTCCACGCACTTCCACACTGCCTGTGGTCACACACCCATTGCAAGTCCTAGGAAAAGTAGGTAGCTGTGCAACAGAAAACATTTCCAAATGGGAGGAACAGTGATTTTATGCGTGTGATACAGACTTGTAAGCAGTAAAGTTAGAAGTTACTGTATTTTACTTGAGGCACTGGCTGTGGTAGACAGTTGAAAAGGTTCACATTGACTGTCTGAATGACATAAGTAATGTGCTATTAGCATAAATACTTTCTAGGACATCCATTTAATCAATTTCTTAAATAACAGAATGATCTACTACAAAATAGTGGACTGTATACACTATATTTTGGCACAAAGATGGTCATTCTCCCACTAGTAACCAGGGGCTCTAAATAAATGATTTCAACAATGTTTTATTAAAGGAGGACAAGAGCCCTCGAGCTGCATTAATCGGGGAGAAGTCGAGTGGCACTTTTGTTATGGAAATGTTAAACACATAATAGTTCAGGCAAACAATGTGGAGCCACTTCATTCTCTCAGCCATGCTGACACCTCTTAAAGAGGAACTGCAGGGAAGGATGTGGGAAAGATTTGCTTTCTGAGGAAGCTTTCAGCTAATATTTTGGATATTTACCTCCAAAATTCAACCAGTGCAAATGTAACTGAAAGGCATAAAAATAAAACAATAAAGAGGGATTATTTATGCAGCTACTGCTAGTGATGAGAGTTTGGTGCTCAAAATCAAAATAGTAGCTGATGAGCCCCCCCCCCTTTCTTTAAAGTTTCTTTTTTTATGAATTTATTATGAATCAAGTGGATATTATATTAGAAGCTGAACAAAGAGAGATTCTTGTTAACACACAGAGAAAACAGTGCTAATATTATACGTTGGACATTCATCAGGGAGGGAAAAGAGGAACGTCCTAGAGTAAGGAAATAGACTAAGGTTTAGTAGGATGGTCATGAGGTAAAGTGTGATGTGTAGAAAACATAAAAAATAACTAATAAAGTAATACATAAGTCTGCATAAAGAAATGCAGGGTCTGCATAAAGAAAGATCCACGTTCAAATGTGGTGTTTTGAATGGGTGGGAAGAAGAAAGGTAGGGAAGAGTAGATGACTGTTATGTAGAGAAGTTTTGGAGAATCGATAGCATACTTGCCAATAAGGAGAAAGAAGCTCCAAAATAGTGTCAAGAAGTTAGCTGAGACACAGATTGAAAATAATGGGGGAATGCAGAAAGAAAGCAGTCTGTCTTTAGTAATGTTGGCACAGCCAGAAAGAAAGAGTAATATGGAAATAAGATGAACATTCAGCTCTGGAAATGTTTTTTTTTACCTCATCTCCAGAAGATGGAGATGAAAACTATCATCCCCATGTTCTTGGTAGTTGTGACAGTGTGTCCAGGTTTCAGACCACCCCTCTTTCAAGTTCAGGAAGGATGCTGAGAAACTTGAGGGGCTAGTAGAAGGCTGCTGGAATGGCTAGAGTTTGTGATCAACATGGAAAAGATGAGGGAGCTGAACTTTATTGCAACTGAAAAGTGAATCTAATGGCACCCTATACCATGGGAAGAAAACTTTTGTAAAGACTATAGGGCTCAACTCTTCT